GAATCAGATCGTGAAACAAATTGATGTGCATATGCATAATATTATGTATGATGTATGTGTGAAGTTTGAACATAATCGGTCTAGCCATGTGTAAGATACAGGTCCGGACACACACATGCGCAGATATAAAAGTAATCAGAGTCACAATTCATGCGAAACTTTTGGAATTATACTGTCTGTAATTATTACGGTTGCAAAAATAATTGTGATCTGAATTTGGGAATGTTTTTTTTTTTAATGTTACCTTGTCTGAAGTAAAAAAAACAAAGTCTGCATAAGAATTGAATTTCTAATATTGTTACAAACCAAAATCTTACAGCCAAAATTACATAGTTTGTGAAAATAATTTCACACAAGATCAGATGCTTTGTACAAAATGCATGATAGTAAAATATATATTGTGTAAATTCCAGAAATAGAAATGAGCTTTGATGGATTTTCAAAATTATAGCTGTTATGCATCTTATGATTTGTTATTGTTTACTGTGATAAATATCTATATTTTGTTGTTGAAAGTCATAAACAAATTTGCAGTTGGGCTGTGTCGTGTGTAATGTACATGTATATGACAACGAGACAAGGGGGAATCCCCTGCAGGAAAACTTAAACTCTTCTATGTGTTAACCAACAACGATTAGCCCAGAATGAAATAAATTTTCAGTTGTTTAAAAACAGTGAGTGTTGATTTGTATGCTAGGTGTCGAACAAGCAATATGCCATGTACTGTTAGGTTAATGAGTTAATTAGTATACAAGCAGCTCTGGTCATAAGTATTTCATTAGTTTGAAGCTGCTGGTAGTGAGACTTCACTGTTGGAATATTCTGGCTCAAAAGACAGGAACCAATCCCAGTTCCAAATTATCCATAATGATACAAGTGAACGTAAAAAACAATACAAGAACAGCAGAGAATGTACAATTTATAAGCAATGGATTGACTTTGAATGAACCTAGCCTAATATGTCACAGAAGTACCCCAATGTAGTTTGTTACTTTGTTAATTGGTTGTGTTTGTTTTATTGTGGAATGATGTTTGTTAACATAGCGATTGGTATAATTGGTCGTTGGTCTTTCACACCTGTTTAGCTTATTTAATTTTGGATAATTTTCTATTTTCTATGCTGCACCTGACACAGAAATATTTTTAAAAAAAAAACTATGTTCAAAAAATACTCACCAAAGGTGGATTATTTTCAATTTCACCAGAAACTTCCAAAGAAACATTACTACTTTCAGAGCTACTTCTTTGTTCCAAAGCGATGTTGGCTGTAGATATATCCATGTTGTGGCTTGACTCAGTGGTTTCAATATTGGGTGTATTTTTTTCAGAAGGCATGTCATCTTCACTTACATCAAAAACAGCAGTGCACTCCCACAGGTGTGATCGTAATTCTCGAACCAAGAAACTTTTTTTGCATCCTTTGCATATTTCTTGAAGAGTGGATATTGTTACTGGTGCAGCGGATTTAGTGTCCAGATTTGTCTGTATTGGACGCAGGTAGATCTTATATTGGGGTCCCAAACTGGCCTTCAA